ATTTTCCTCTCTTAATGATAATGAACGTAAAACAGCAGGTCACAGTGCAGAACTCTTAATGAGGACAGCAGGGTCTGATTTTAGACCGATCCCCCGCCAGCCATTCCGCTCAGCCAGCCAAGTCTTAAAAGTCGGCACTAGAAGGTTAAGAAGTCATTTTTATTTAATTTAATACATTTTCGCTGCATCACACAAATGCACACTCACGGATTTTGGACATGCTTGCGGAGGTTAGAATCATTTACGAGATGCCGGTTTTCAGTCCAACCTTTTCCATCGGTCGCTCTCATTGCTGACGTTCAATAAGCCCTTCTTGTTTTCTCTTTCTTTAAACTAGTAAACCTCTTTGCCTGCTTTCCTCCTTGGCGTGCTACCTGTCGGTTACAGTGCTTATAAGCTGTCGTGTTTGGAAACTATTTTTACGTCGGTGACTCGTAACGTGTGTAAGTAAAGTGTGACGTGAGAGCTGGGGTTAGTTTTCACGGGGCCGCATGAGGAAGACGGGCTGATTACAGAGCGCACACAAAGAGAGCTTTTAATCTCTGGTTCATAATTGAAACCACAACAAACAGCAGAAACAATGAACACTTGTCGGACTGGACAATTTCATTAAAATTGTCTATTATTCTAAACTCTTGTGTGGTAGCAATTGCCCTAAATGGCTGTTTTCGGTAGAGGCGGCGAGATGAGACGGCCGTATAAGACGCGGCAGCACATCGCGTGAGTCCGAGTTTGATTGATTTTCATAGTTTATGAATTATACACCCATTCCATTCCACGATGCCCTCTGAATTAAAGCTGGCAGGGCTTTGGCAGAATGAAAATGGCTAACCAAGGAAATGCGTAATATAGGCGCAAACTTTTACATGGTCCGATGATCAAGCAAGAGATTTAAAACACCACTTAAGATGTATTCAAATCTTTGCACCGTCGTCATCGTGCTTAGAAACAACGACCAAGGGTGAACACAGGGAATGAAGTGTGGGAGGGGGAAACAAACCCCAAAAAAACAGTCTCACAACAGAAGAAGAAAGTGCAGCTTGTGGACGAGTGAGCCGGTCCAAGATTTTGCAAGATGGTAATTAATTCTGCTTGTTTAGTACTGAGCTAGCAGAATAACATGCTCTGGTCTTGCTGCATTAACAACCTCTACCCATTATTTATCTGCTTTTTATGCTCAGAAGTCCTTTTTTGCCGCTCTGGCTTTGGATCCTTTTTTTTCTCTCCGTCATTTCCCTCCTCTGCTAACAACGTATTTAGCGACTTTATCCAAAAGAAACGGACCCCATGTGAAATCCACGGCACTGCCCGTTTACCGCAGCGGCACGCCGAGTCATCACCAGCTGGTGGTCTGTGACCTTCAGCTGTGGCTGCTTCTTCTTCTTCTTCTCCTCCTCCTCCGGTACACTGGAATTCCTCTGCACTGTTTTCTGGCCCATGTAACCCGAATAGCCCCCAGTGTCTGATTCCAGTAATAAAATTGAGTAGTTAAAAGCTTTTTTAACAGTCCTCCCTGTCTCGTTTATCTGTAAAAAAATGAATCAAATGTATAAAGTGGTATTACTTTCCTTAAGTCATTGAAGTAGTTATTCCTTTGAGGATGTTCATTGGGATTACTCTGTAATTGCATTCTTTTTATTTTTAGTGAGCCATCGTAGTACAAGCAAGAAAGAATATTCACGCGCAGCAACACAAACCATTGACCAAAACGAGGACGTCAGCCTACAACCTATTTTGTGGTCAATGGTCACAGCAGCATGAGGCCGACTCACAAAGGCCAGTAAATACATGCAAAAGTTACCAACAACGCCGGTTGACTGGGCCGATGAAAGTAAGCGGTATATTCTGAGCGGAAGGTAATTTAGTGTGTTCTCAGGGGTCATATGTCAAGTTTATGACTAAAAGTGTTATTTTTTTTATTTTCTCCGTTCAACCTCAGCCCACTAAAGCCGTTGAAACGTTCACTGCTTTCTATACCTGCTACCATCTGCAAGCGGTTACAGGCTGAGTAACGTTGGTTAACTCCCATCGCACTACACAAACCCTTTCATCACCGTGTTTATTTTTAGTTTTTATTATCTTCAATTAGCCCCACGTGGTCACTATTAAATATATTCTTTGTGCACATCACAGATTTCCCAGAACGCCACAGCTAACCAGCACATGTGACCATGGCGCTGTCCTGTGGCAGAGCGTTGTGTTCTTCTTTTTACATTCACATGACTTGTGGGCATTTAAATAGGGGATGCCAGGTAACCTGTTAAGCAGCACATGCTGTGAGATACACATAGCATTGGAAGGGAAATTGTTTTCCACGCCTCAGGAGGAACTAGTTTCCAGCCGAAATGTCACGCCGTCGTTTAATAATTGTGCCGCCGTATCTCCCGTTTCCCAGTCCCTGACTGTGTGTTGGCCCTGAACGCTGCAGTGTGTGTGTGTGTGTGTGTGTGTGTGTGTGGTGTGTGTGTGTGTGTGTGTGTGTGTGTGTGTGTGTGTCCACACGTCGGCCTTTTCAATGATTGAAGATCAGAGAATAACCTTGATTCAAGGCGGCGCGCATTAAAGCGAGCCGCAGGGAGCCGCTGGCTCCTCAAAGTCAAATCCATTACTTGGTGCCAAAGGCAGACAAGTTATCATTTGATTGGGTTGTTTCATCGGTTCTCTGTCAAAGCAGACACGTACACACATCACCATCACTGAGGCACAGCGGAGTTTCTTTTTTAATTTGTTCCCTCTGTGCGGTCTCCACACCCTCCCTACAGGTGTCCTGCTCCAATTCCCTCTGTAGTAATGATAATAACGCAAATGCTAGTTGATAACACATGACGGGCAGATCCAGCCAACATGTGCAGATTCTTGTTCTGGCCGGAGAGCACTGATGTGATTTTCCTGCCCTTGTGTGTGCGTGCGCTCGCCTGTGTTCTTGGATGACTTGCTTGTGTGTAAGCCGCTACTTTCCCACGTTGTGGAGTAGGTTCTCCCACAGCCCCCCCCCCTTTCCCCTTCTCCTTCAGTTTCCCCTCCTCTCTCCTTCTTATCCCCCTTTCTCTCTCTCCTCCTCTCTGCACCTGTACTCGGCGCTCCGGCCCCAGCTGCTCCCATCTCGGCTGAGCACTGTTGGCCGGAGCCCATGTTGCACTTGGCATGTCCTCTGAGACCCTGGGGCCACACTTGACGTGCGAGGGGCAGGCGGGCCCCCGTCCAGGGAAAGGCTCCCGTGGCCAGGAGGGGCTCGAAGCAGACGGATGAGAAGAGCGCTGTGGGCTGGAAAAAGACCTGCTGGAATTCTGGGAGTAAAATGCTGACTCGTTGTTAGTCCTGCTGGGCAGGAGATTGAGGAAAGATAAGGAGGTTGACCTCCAGCGAAAGGATAACAAATCAGTTGATCTGATAAGACTTGCTGTTGGTAATGAGGCAGTATTTGGGGTATTGTAGTTTTGAGAAAAGGCGGAAAGGGTTCAGTTAGAAAGGGAACTTAATTGAGTTAAAGTTTACAGTTCATTATAACTCATATTGCCATATTCTCTCTCAGTAGGGAGGACACTGTATGGCTGACATTGTAGTCCATGGTGTCCCAAGGACTAATCAACAACAAGCCCCTCAGCAAGTCCAAGCTTTCACTTATCTGGTGAAATATTTCAACATCTCCAACTTATAGTTCTGACCAAATAAATACCGACGACTTTGGTGGTCCCGAGACTTCTTTTAATCCGTTCCACCACGACGTTCACATTTTAAACTTTTATTGGATGGCGTGCAATGGAGGACACGTTTACATGCTTTAATGGGTGAATTGCAACATGTGCCATTGGTGGAATGCTAGGAGATTAAACTTGAATTGGCCCAATACTTTGTCTAATGACCAAGTTAATGTCAAGCTAATGACGCTTCCATCAGCCACAGCTGTACTTTGAGTTGAGCACGCTGATGTTAGCATGTTGCGCTAACCACTGCAGTGCCTAAGTACTGCCCTACAGGCCTGTAGACTCTTATGGAAGATTTGATTTCAGTCATTTAAAACTTTAGCATATATTCAGGGCGGTTTTCACTTAAAGTGCTGGTTCTGTTGAATATGTCCCTACGACCTCCGACCTCGTTATTTAATGACGTGCTCTGCTGTAAAGAAACTTTTGAAAGTTTCCAGTGCACGCAGGATTTCCTCGTGGGGTTTTCTAACATCTTGTGTTCCCCCAAATTCCAATCAAGTATTAAATCTCCCTGCTGCTGCATTGCAAAGTAGGATGTTTCGCTACAGCTGAAACTTTACAGACACACACCGTGGGAAAGGGGATTGTTCCAATTAACTCCACCACATTCGGCAACTACTCATTTTCAGTCATTAACAGCTCCATGCCAAAAGTAAAAATATTGAGTGCATTTGGCAACGACTCGAGACACGGTATGATGAATCAAAACTGCCATCGTGTCTCCCACATATGGAGTGTGTCCTTGCGAATATTAAAGTGTATACTGGCAGAGAAGAACGAGGACAGGGAGACGGATATTAAAAAGTTTGGAGTCCTCTCCTCCCCCGTATAGCTTTCCCACTATTTCTCATCCCTTGTCCTCGATCCGGCGGACATTCTCAGCCCTTCTCACCCTGACCCATGGAGGGGGGGAGGTGGGGGTGGTATCACACACGCGGACTCGCAGACCTCTAAATCTGCCCGCTGACAGCTGAGTCCCGCTCCGTCGAGACCCGAATAAAGAGAGTAAAATCTATGGCCGGGGCCAGAAGAAAGAGCGGAGGATATATATGTCCCTGTGCTTTGTTTGCCATTCCCGGGCCGGGATTCAATAGCGAGACATCAGTCAAGTGGTTAGGCAGCGGGCTATTGTGTAGTAATTGACCCTGATGAAGTGGTGGGACTTTAATTTGGGAACAGTGTAAACGGTGTGAATTGATCGCTCGCCTCGGAAGCGACTGTGCTGCTCCGGTTTCTTGTTTTATACACACACGTTTCTGGATATGTATTTTGTTCTTGTGTCGTTCGTTCCAGGTACCATTATCCCGTTCCTAAGATCTTCTACGTCCAGCTGTCTGTGGGGAGTCATGAGTTTATCGGGGATGGACGCACCCGCCAAGCAGCCAGACATAATGCTGCCATGAAGGCCCTGCAAGCCCTGCGCAACGAACCCATCCCCGAACGGCCACCGCAGGTACACACACACACACACACACACACACACACTCGGGCCCTGCACAAGCCTCCCTCTAGCAGTGGGTACCAGCAGTTGTGTAACATGTGCTTGTTGACTCCCTATATTCAACGTCTGCTCAGTGTGTCAATATATATTCAATATAACCCCCCCTCCCCCGCACCTTCTACGCTCAGCTTGGTCTTTTCCAAATCCAAGCTCAATTTCTTTCGTTGTTGCTGCGGTGACCTTGTTGACACAACCGCTGTGCGTCGAGCCACAAGCTCCTTTTAATTGCAAAAGATTGAAACAAACTCGACTCTCCAATCCAATTCTGCTCCGTCCCACCCCCTCAGTGGAAAATGACATCAATAAGGAATAAGGAATTGCATTTTGCCAATACCATGTCGGTTTTGCCTGACCTCAAATATATTCAATTGATTACGAGGACCGAAAAGCACCCAACAATCTGAGAGACATCAATTCACTCAATGAACCAGGGCAAATATTTTGACATTTTTTACTGTTGATACATGCTTAGTTGTGCTTATGAAACCTCTAACCCCCCCCCCCCCCCCCACTGCTTTAGAGTTGAGTGTCACTCAACTCTAAAGCAAACAAACAGACTTAAACTCTTGCTTTAATGAAAAGTAAGAGGATTTGTGCTGCTGGTCTGTTAACTGGTGTCCCGGTAGAGGCTCTAATTAAAAGTGTTGCACAGTTTTGTGTGTGTTTGCAGACACTAAGGTGAACGCGTAACCACCTTTCATCCGATTGAAATCCACTTCAGCTCTAATTATTTTAATGTATCATTTAAGCCTGGCATTCCTCCGTGGTTTGGTTTGCGCCTGGCAAGAGTGTAGTCTCTCACCTCCTTTAAAAAAAATGTTTTTCTTCTTCTTGCCTACTACTTATGTCCCTCTCCCATTCCACAGTCTTCCTTCAGGCACAACTGTTAACTGTTGTTATCGTCTCCCACCGGAAATGAAATGACCCCGATTCTCATCGCCTGGCATCGCTGATGGTCATTCAAAACGCTTTGGCTCTCCTCACTTGCCCGACTCGCTGTCTTGTGGCGTCGGCCTCCATAAATGTGCTCTTTGTTCGCTGCTGCTTCTGAGTCTTGCTTTACAAATTGAGGCGCATTGTGTCTCCAGTCTACACGTCCGTCATCCTGTCTGGCCGTGAGTGTGCGTGTGCTCTTGTGTAAATGTGCCGATGCCCTCGGGCCCCTTAAGTTTGCTCTTTTAACCCTTGTCTATCAGATTTTGAGGAAGACCACAGATGAATTATCTGTGACACTCTCAATTGTGTTTTACAAACAAGTAGAGCAACAATATATAACCGTAGGGAAGAGGGGCTTCGGGCTTTAAAGATCATATAATGAAACTGCTGACTCAACTCCTATTTATTTTATGATAAGCAGTCGTCGTTGAAGAATTGGGTGGTGAAGGAGCCCCTTCTTCCACGTCCTTTTGATGGAGAATCCTTTCGACCGAAAACAATTGCCCCTGAGCCACACATGTGGACATGAAGCAACAAGCGGTGAACCCATACGCTGTGTCTTGTGTTCCCGGGACTCTCTGTCCAGCAGAGGCGGCGCCGAAGGCCAATTGTAGCCCTCGGTTTGTCTTTGTCTCAAGCTGGTCCTGTGATCTACTCGGCCATTCCGGGGCCCGCGGGCTAACGCGCGCCAATCGCGCCCAGTGGCTCGTTACTGCAACCCTGAGGAGGGTATTCACGCTATTATTCACACACGTTGAGAACGCTCCACAAACCCGAAAGTTTATGAAGAAGAAATGCGCGTGCATTAGGAGATGCAGAGGGGCACGCACGCACAAAACGAAGCGCGGTGTGAGGTCCCCGGGTGCGGTAGGTGCGTCGTACCACGTGACCGTTCTCTATGAAATCCAAGAGAACCTCGCGCTGTGAATCACGCGTCGTATCGGATCGCACAATGAGGCGGGCGAAAAGGAAGAAGCCCCAAGGGAAAGACTTGCAGACATTCACACGTAATGAGACAAAGAGCTGGACATGAGAAGAGGATAAGGACCGAGACAGAAGGCTGCATTCCCGTGGACAATTGGCACCAAAAAGGGCCCTGTGCTGTATGGTTTAAGATGTCATCTCTGCAGCGTGAAGTACATTTCTGTATTAGTGGAAGGGACCGATAGCCTTTTTGGTGAGTGGAATACAGCCATCATTCTTGTAAAGTCTGGCTCATCCATATTTCAACAAGTTCAAACTCTCTGAAGGCTCATTGAGTATTAAATCCAAATTACTTCATAGTTCTCATTATTTAGCAATTCAGAAAATGTGCTTTGGTGCAAATCATTACTTCATTTTCTTTATTCATATCAAGGGAATGCTTCATGCTTGAATGTGATTTAAGGATTTTGATGTTTATAGATGATAACTTTGCTATCAAAAACAGAGTGAATACCCCCCCCACCCCCCCCCCCACACACACACACACACACCACACACAGCTTTAAGAGGCCTTGTGCAGAAAGTCATGTGCAAAAAATACTGATCCATATCCGATAAGGATCATAGCCAGAAAACAGACATCCACTGTGTGTGCGGGTTGTGAAATCCTTGGTTTGATAACTGCCACAGTTGGGGGTCACAGTTGGAGTAACTGTTTTTGTATTTGCTGTTACCAAACCCCCCAAAACATGTTAAGTCATGGTTTCATATCACACTCTTGATTTTCTTCTGTGATTTGCTTTTGGAAGAGCACCTTGCACCTAAACCTGTTTGCACCCAATATCCACGTGGGTTGAGTTACGTGTGTGACGTGGGTATTCTCACTGACTCAATAACACTTGTTGTTGTTGTCTCGTTCAGTCGTAGGGAAAATACTGACATTTATTTGAGATCTGATCATATTTTGCTCTAATTGGCTTCATGAGCCCTCCACACAGTGATCTAAAGGTTGTGAGTTCATCTTCCCGCTTTGGTTTCTATATTAAGGTCACTAAACCAGAGACGCCATTTATGTGAATGCTAAAAACGTTCATGAATTAAAGATGATGCATTCTTAAACTAAACCTTTACTCATCAATAGAATTATTTGAAACCTCTAATCTAAAAGTGCCTTTCGCTCTATAACTATAACTACCTTCGATGTTGTTCCGTCTTTCCAAGAGCCCGGAGGAAAAAGGGGAGCCCGAGGAAGGCAGTGATGCCAGCAAATCGGAGATCAGCCTGGTCTACGAAATCGCCCTGAAGAGGAACTTATCTGTCAACTTTGAGGTGAGTTTTGCTGTATTTTCCCATCAGCGAGGTCACTCATCACGTGTGGAAATTCTCGTGGGGTCGGGTTCAAAGTGTTTCTGAGCTGCTGTAATGCATTGGTGTGGGTTCCGCTGACTCGACCCTATTCGATTTTCAGGCGACTCAGCTGATTCACGTCAACCGGGTATTTGGACTAGAATTTAAAATGATACTTTTTCATCATGTTTCTGGGTCCCACACACTATAGAGAGTCAAAGTATGACGGAATCTACTTAGGATTCAAATTCGGTTTAAAAAAATCAAGTGAGTGAGTGAGTGTGTGTGTGTGTGTGTGTGTGTGTGTGTGTGTGTGTGTGTGTGTGTGTGTGTGTGTGTGTGTTATGGGGTTATTATTGAAACCCACGTTTGATGAAGAAATGAAAATCATTTTGGGATTTTCCGTTTCACGTCAGTCCATTCTTCGCCAGCTTAAGGCCCAGCATGTGGTGGCCGTTAGAGGAAATTAACCTTTTAAGCTTGGTCGGCTGATGGCTTACTTGTGTTCACAGCTGTGTCCGCTAAAAGCATTTTGCACCAGAGAGTGTGACCTTGAGAAGCTCCCCGGGGAGCTTCCCGGTGCTGCTACGTTCTCTCCACTGGCTGAGATGGCTTCCCTGCATTGCTCGTTGTGTTAAATTTCATAGGATCCAACCGCGTTTCTCTAACCATCGAAATTACCGTCCCCCAGCTTCTCTAAATCAACAAGGAGGAGGTCTGGTTTGTCCTCCTCAGACCTGCAGGCTCTGTTCTCTTTGGCTTTCGCCGTATCTGAGCTGACTCATCCAATAGTCCCTCCCAGATCGCCCTCTCCTCTTCTTCTTCTTCTTCTTCTTCTACTTCTGCTGCACTCTGCACGTTGCCAAAAACAAGGGAGGCTCAGTTTACTCTGTGTGCCCCCTCCCTTCCTCCACTGCTTCCCTGCCTTCCACCTCCTTCCATCATTCCCAAAAATCACACCGTTGGTGGGGGGGAAAGGAGTGACAGATGGAAGGAATACTGTTGACTTCGCTTGTTAATACGAGTTTACACAACATCGGTAAAAATCATCTTGAAAGCAGTTCAGTCATCCCTTGTTATCCTCTACACACACACACACACACACACACACACACACACACACACACACACACACACCCCTCAGAAGTGATTTAGCTCATTAGAGCATGACATGACCGTCCTTCCTGGAACTACTATTAATAATTTCTCAGCCAGCTAAATCGGGTTTGATGTGATTCATTATCTGTTACGTGTTTCACTGTCAGCAATTACTTAACTTCTCATTTTTCCAAATTGGACACTGACAAAAAAAAAAAAAAAAGCAGCCCGCTGGCACGTTTCTCCAAGCGGCCTGGAGACTTTCCATTGCTGCTCTATGAAGAGCAGTAAATCAGTTCCCTCCCCTTTGTCTTCATGTAAACAGTCACTCTACATCTCCGTCAACAAGCCGTGTGCGCTGTTTGTTCAGTCTCTTCTGGGCTATAAATGAGTAATTTTTAAAAGTACTAGAAACAGTATTTGTTTTCTTCATGGTAGTCATTTTTCATTGTATTTCCACTTAGCTTTTGATTAGTTTGCTTCTCCATTTCGGTATATTAGCCAGGCTCCATTTGTTTTCCTGTGCCATGTCAACCTAAACTCTCGGCCCGGCTGCTTTCCAGGCGATTATCTTTTCCCTGTGCCGGCACAGCGGGCCTCTCCCCCCCCCCCGCACAACCCCGGTGGTTCTCCAGCAGATTGACTTTCACTCTCAATCAGCATGTTCCGTACAGGAGACTCAGTGTAAATTACACAGGCCCCTGTGGCCTTTTTTTCCCCATTTGCCCATTGGGGTCCATTACATTATAACTCATTCGCCAAAGCTTGGCCTCATCGCTTCACCCCCGCCATCACGTCACCGCGTCGCCTTTCGAATGCGCCGAGAGGAAATGCATCCTACGCAAACCTGCAGCGGTCATCTCCCACGTGAACGCCTTTGCGTGGCCGCCGTGTTTTCACATCCTCTCATCCCTGCCAGTGTCTGCTTTCCCATCCCGCCGCGACGATGAGGGTCGCCGCCACCCTGAAAGCCAGTTGGCTCATTTAATCAACCCTCCCCCCCTGTCGGGCGATATCAAACAGATGTCAGCATCAAAGAAGGAACCAATCTATAAATCACAGCCCGTGTGTTGGATCCGAGACACAGGAGAACAGGGTCCTGGCCCAGAACTAATCCATCTTACAAGGAGCAGCTTTCTCTTTGGGGGGGGGGCGGGAGGGGGAAGGCTTGTCCATCCGCCGCTCGTCACAAAAGAGCCTTTCTTCCCTCTACCAGTTCTCCGCCATTGTCCCGCCCTGCTTGCCGAGTACCTGAGGTCTCTCATGCACGGCTCCTCGGAGTATTGATGTCTAATGTGAGATCTCGCCCCGTATAACATGAAATATGAAGCGACAAGAAGACGACGGGGGAAAAAAGAAATCAACATTGAATTACCAAGTGTTTCCTGTGTACAACCTGATCCTTGGTGATTTGGGTTTGTTTGCATGTCTGTGTGTCTGTGTGGGGGGGCATTGAAAAGAATAGAAGCGCTGAAATCTCATCGCCGCAGATCTTGTGCTGTCTGCCAAGAGACTGACTGCACCTCGTCTGCCTCTATGGCGGGCCAAGAGTGTGTGACACGCGCGCACACACGTATGCGCTTTGTCGACTGCCCCACGCGCGCGTGCCGGCTGCATTTTAATTTCTGGGCCGCACCACGAAAGAGACAGACCGAGACTAAGCTCCAAAAGAGTGATCGAGAGCCGCCGTAATACCGCCGCTCATCGTTCACACCATCCGGCATCAAAGCCGCCCGGCCGCAGACCCGTCACCGGCCAGTCGCATCTACTTTCTGTCTGTCAGCAGCTCAAATATATATCTCAGCCGACAGCGGGCCGGTGATCCATCATCGACACGTCCCGTCCCGTCGAACGCCTTCCCCTACAAGAGGCTGCCACGCTACATTTCCTTTCTCCGGTGATGAGCAAGACCAGAGCAGGTCGCCCGGGTCGGAGTGTGCTTGGATGTCGCAACGCAGCCCCACAACACACGCACATCCCGACCGTGTGGTTAGACTCATCGCGCAGGAATGCTGATGTGCTAACGGGTACATTGACAGCAAACGCCGGGGCCGGTGTCAGGCATGTTAGCAAGAATGTCCTTCAGTTGGAATCAGTAGGAGTAGTTGGGTCCAGGAAGCCTAAACACATCCTCCTTTTTTATCTTGTGTTCAATCAAGTTTAATCCCAATTTCGCAGCGAAGCAAATTGCTTTAACCACTTAATGTACATGTGTTTTTTGCTGTAAAGGGGCTGACTGTTTTGTCATTGTTATGGGAGTAGTTGTATTAATTTCTGATACTTCAATAACCATTTGGGCTTTCCCTTATGCGCCAGATCTCCATTTTATTCTGGTTAATCAACCAAAGCGCATGTTTGTGTGGGTATCACTGCATAGCAGAGAAGAGGAGCACACATTATTCTTTGTTCTCAACGTCTGGTATTGGTCTGTGTTGATGTGCGAAGCATCTGAGGAATGCTCAAGGTTCTGCTTATCAGTTTAATCGGTTTTGTCGGTCACTAGGTTCAAATGAACGGTTTCTGGATTGCGTCTGATTGCTGCAATTTGTGCTGTCTGCACCACAAATTAAGCTTGAATAAAGGGAAAGCAGAGAAAGCGGTAGATGGGTCTTGGGAGTCCAAATAGACGTGTGCCGACAGCTTGAGGGAGAGCGCGGGCCGAAGGACAGAGCGCCACGAATCCAAAAAGTGTCCACATGAGCCCAACGTGTACTGATAGGCGGTTAGTGTGTGAAACCGCGTTCTGCGTCCAGCGTTCTCTCCTAAATCTGATCGGGAGTACCCCACCTGCTCCACACACACTCACACTTGGACTTCACAGGAAGTGGATGTGATCGCAGAAGCATGACCTAACGCCAGCCGGTGTTTGTTTTAGATCTCCCAGGTGACCAGAGGCTAGAGGAAGGAAACTGAGCCCTCGTCACTAGAGACTGTCCTCTAGGAACATGTTCCTCTTCCTGTATGTGTGTGTGTGATAATAATGGGTGGGTAGCATTGTGACCATCAAGAACAGATGTTTTGGACCACCTGGTGTAGCTGCATACACTCTCTTCACATATATCATTAAAAACATGTAGTATTCCATACAAACTGATTGTGAAGTTATCTGGACTTTTCATGTACGCACTCACTTTCCAGCTGTCCCCCTCCCAGGTGTTAAAGGAGAGCGGCCCTCCGCACATGAAAAGCTTCCTGACCCGTGTCAGCGTGGGGGAATTCTCCGCCGAGGGCGAAGGCAACAGCAAGAAACTGTCCAAGAAGCGCGCCGCGCTGTCCATCCTGCAGGACCTGAAGAAGCTTCCCTTCATCCCCGTTGTGGAGAAACCCAAGACGCACTACAAGAAACGTACCAAGACCATCCTCAAGGTACTGCGGGTGGGCGGGGCCTCGGGGAGGTTATTTTTACCATGTACAATCACCTTTTGTTGAACTGTGTGTTTCTACTGGTCTGCCATTTGACATTGTAGAAACAATGCCATAATTTGACTTACTCAAATGACTTGAAGTGTGAAAGATGATGGTGTCTTTTATCTTTTGCATCTTGCAGATAGTTGTGATCTAATGTAAAGTAAATTAGTTCAGTGAGGGCCTGTAACTGCTGTACTAACAGTTAAGCTCTGGGTACTGCAGGAAGACACATACCTGCAGAGAGACTGTCACACATTCACACAAGCCTTCACCGAGGCCTAAGCTAGACTGACCTGACCTGCCGACGCCCGTAACCCGTAGCAACCACTCCTGCCTGTGTGCACACAGGACGGGAGAAGAGCGGGAGACGCTGCTGAACTCGGGTCGACTCGGTTTGCTTTGAGCGGCAAGTCGCTGCAAGGGTCCACAGAGTCTGGGCTGTTCATGAAACCCTCAGGGCTGTGGACTCGTACGCCCTGGCCACTGTACCTGAAGGGCCTCGCTTTCTTTTAGCCAGTAATTCCGCCACCCAAAAAAATAAGTATGAGCAGTTCCACCTGTTTTTATGGGCCGTCACCGATAAAAAAGGGGAAAAAAGACAGTTGTGTCGGCCTCCCCTGGAAACCACCCGTCACACCAGCACACCACTGAATATTGGTGTTGAGTCGATCACCCTGTGTCTCCTCTGTTCCTCGCAGACGGGACCGGACTATGGCCAGGGCATGAACCCGATCAGCCGCCTGGCCCAGATCCAGCAGGCCAAGAAGGAGAAGGAGCCGGAGTACTTGCTGCTCTCTGAAAGGGGGATGCCCCGACGCCGTGAGTTCATCATGCAGGTGAACTTAACAGGTTTTGTTTCATATTCACGTTAGCATCTCCGGTTAGCCACGTTTGTCATTTTACGCATGCTGCGACAAGGAACCGGCTTTCCTGGAGCAATTGATACGGCCCGATCTAGATGAGGTGGGATTGAGATGGAGAGGACTGGATGAGGGTTATGCCTGCGCAAGAGGAAAAGGAGCCTGACTCTTAACCTGCTAGACTGTGTCTACCCAGGAGATGCGGCGTGAGCGGTAGCTTCAGCTCTCTGTGCAAAGGATGCCTTCAGCCACTGTATGATTGTGGGTTCCTTTTAGCAGAACTCGATATGCATACAATGGAAGAAAATACACTTGAAATATAGGAATATGCATCAAGTAACTTTTATGGCAGTATAGCATTAGTGAAACATCTGGATGGGTCCAAATATAAATAGTGTGTCTGTTCCGTAACACATGGTAAAAAATACCTTCTGTTCAAACGTCATGGATCAATCGGTTTCTGGGTTGGCGGATAAGGAAAATATCTTGACAGGATGCTCTATATACTTGTTGTTGTGGTTGGTCCTGACCCAAAGAGAAGGGATGGACTGACCGTGCTTATCAAGAGGAGAGAAAGATGCCAGCTGCAAGAATAAACCCTCTCTGTCTGGCCAAAGGCAGCCTGCAGCGGTGTTGTATAACATCTTTACACTCCAACACAAGTTTCTCGGTTTTCTCTTGGAACTGATCTGGTTTCCTGTTTCTGTCATGTATGCAGTCAGCCCTTCACCCTGCTTCCACCTCTGGAAGCAAGGCACCTCGACAAGAAGAAAATATCTACACTTCTTTTAGCTTTTCATATATGTTTTGTAATTTCTCTCCATTTATCAGCTTTACAGGACACTGACAGCAATGGTTTAAACACTTGAAGCTCTTTTCTGCATGCTGTTAGTATTGGACCTCACTCTACTCCCTCTCACTCCCCCTTTCCTCTCACTCCCCCTTTCCTTTCACTCCCTGTTCCCTCTTTAAAAGTTCTGTTTTGATATTCATTATTTATACAGCGTGCAAATGAAGCTCGGAATAGACAAACATCCATCTTTACAGCCTTGTTTTTCTTAGGAAAGCAGCAACTGTTTTATGCGATTACATTTCATTTTACAATGTTGTCCCTCTACTGTACTACAGAAAGATACATAAAAAATGTAACACTTCAGGGATGACTTTTATTTCTTGGGCCAACCCCGTGAACTTTTTTCCACAAAAAGCAGATCGGATTTTGGATTATTAGAAAATAGAATAGTTTTCTACTTGCAGTTTAAACTCCCAAGAGGGTATCCTTAAAATATTTTGTATCTTTAAATAAACATGTTCTATTGTAGTGTATTGAGCTCATGTCGATGCCAAATAACGGTCAACCAGAAGTACAGCCTGACTCTCTCGTTTCCTAGTTTCAGGGCTCACTCTTGTAGCACTCTTTGTGTAGTAAGCAGCCAGTACTCATTAACTGAATAAAATGTCACAGTCTGGCAGCAGCAACGACCTTTAACCCTTAACAGAGTTGAAGGATTTTGCTGTTTATCACTAATCTAGTAAACAGAGCAGGGACTGCATGGATGAGGAATCTCATCAGAAAACACAGTTCATCTATTCAGTTACTGTAATTACTTGAGGCTGTGCATATACAAAGCAACGTTATTACTTCATGGGCTCATTCCTCTTGGTTAGCCTTCAATTAGATCTGTCTATCTGGTGGATAGAAACTGACTGAAGCGGCCTTTTACAGACTTGCAAGGGAAAGCGACTGTATTTTCCCATCCCTCTATTATTAGTACAGTCACTTGGATTGCATCTAAATGAAGAAAAATAGTATGACTGAGGTCCCAGAGATGTTAATGTTGTTGTTTTTTTAAACAAAGAAAAACCGAGTAAATATTCACAGTACTCCTCCTCCGTCTGCTAGTGCATCCACCAAAGCTGAGGTCCCGTTTTTGTTAAGGTCGCCATGATAGAGGGTTCTGGGGGACGGATTAGCTGCAGCAGTCAAAATAAAACACCATTGCAAACATTTATTGTTTGGTGAGTTCGGATGGCCTCGTCTGCATATGTTCAGATATAAGCGGCGCAATATATCTAAAAAAAAAATACCATATGATAAATGTCACTTGTTTTTCTATTTACTTCAGATTGAACTGGTGCTCCCTTTGCCCACTGTGAACCACGTCACCGTCTCAGTGAAACTATAACTGAATCAAAGGAACTCCCGTTAATCAGGCGGTTGTCGCACACTATATCGGTTTCTTGTCCTTCGGTTGTTGCTGTTGTCACGATCTGTGAGTATCCTCAACGCCAGTCAACAAAAAAAAACGGTCAAAGCTGGAGCGGTCCATTTGAATTTATGCGGGACATTTCAAGTGCTGCCGTCTTTGTCTCCCTCTTCCTGTCTGTCTCTCTGTGTCCGTCTCTCTCGCCCTTTTGTCTCCCGTTTTGTCCATAATCCTCTGCTTTCATGAGAAGAACAGAGCTTCTCTCAGCATCAGGCAGTAATTCAGCCTCAGACCCATTCTCCGGGCCTCTTTGATACACACATGAGGCCCCGCGAGTGTGTGCGTGTCCCTTTTGTGCGATCCACTCGCGCTTCTAAAATTTCCACATTGTCTCCTTTGGTAAGCCGGGCTCGCCGGGCTCGAATGAGTCTCTGTTTTTGCATCTTTTTTTCCCCAAAACCCATCACTCGTTTAGAAGAAAAGGCAGCGACTTGTGTCGGGTGCCTTTTTTGAGTCTCTGATCATCTATTTAAGGATTCGGTAATTAGCCAGCAATATTTTTTTTTTTTTTTTTTTGTTTCCTCCACATTGTACGTTGTGTCCTACTCGGTGCATTCAGACGAGCACTTAGTGAGCAAGTCGGACCACTGCGAGCGAGTGAGTGCACTGAAGTCCGGCTGTTCACAGGCTTTGGCTCTCAGAATGTTATTTGTACAGGGTAATTGTCTGTTTGCATAACATAACCATGTCGGATATTCTCTTGGAAGCCTCTCTGCTTACATTCTGTGTGGACAGATTTAATGTTTTAGGATCACCGAAAAACAAACACTTCAGTAGGAGAATTTTTTTTGCGTGATGTAAACTGCTCTGTTATGGACTGAAAGTGAAAAGTGGTGGAAGCAGGAAACTCGTGAGAAAATACATATTTTTCCTTAAAAAGTATTGTCCTCCAGAGGCGTCTTTCTCACGTTCATGTACCTGCGTGTGTTTCTGCGCGTTCGTTTGCAGGTGAAGGTGAATAACGAGGTTGCCACGGGAACAGGACCCAACAAGAAGGTGGCCAAGCGGAACGCAGCCGAGGCGATGCTCCTGCAGCTGGGATACAAGGCCTCATCAATCTCTCAGAACCCCAGCGAGGTACCCGCTCTGCTCGTCGTCTCTCACTCACTACAGCTCTTATATTTGCATTCCGACTACTGTCAGAGCAGATAGTTTACCCAGAGTTTTAAACAGTGCTCCGCTTAGGGGAAGTGATCACAGGACCGCAGCTTGCACTTGTTTTCATTTTCTATTTAAGGGGATGTCAGAGTGATAAACGGCGAGATACAACGATTCGTTAATTTACAACGCCCTAGAGCCTGCAAAAAGAGCGACAACACTGAGGGGGCAGTAACGTTTACAGCCATGGAAATTACCGTCTTGGTGTTTGACCCCCGGAAGGGTAAGGGGCGTTTCTGCTCGTGGTGCGTTCAGTTATCGGTGGGATTAAATGGACTGGCTTTATGTTGTTGAGAGAAGGAGACCCTCTGAGATTTATTCTGGAGGCCTCGCCATCGTAATTCCAGTTGTGTGCTGGTGGTTTACATGAAGGAATACTGTGCGCTGGTCCTATTTTGACCGCAGGCTATCGCCTCCGTACGGCACCGTGCCCAATTTCAAGACACCCCGGGGTTCTCGGGTCGATTCTCCGAATCATCAGTGCAGCTGACATGGTCCACCTCTTACGCAACCCTGCTCGTCTGCCCTGAACCCAATGTGCTTTGAGACCATCGATCGCCATCATCTTTATTCACCTCGTTGGCTTCTAAGCTCCGAGAGAGCAGATTAAGATCGAGATGAGTTTACGTAACGGGGCTCTGTAAATATTCATCGTTCCCCAGACAGCTCATTAGTCAGATACGTGCTGCGGCACATAGCGCACAGCTAAAGCATGTCATTTGCTCTCATCGGAATGTCAGTAAGTTGCATCGAGAGTTTTTCGCCGAAGAAACTATAAGCCGTGCAGTTTGCAGTGAAAATTCTCCTTCATCCTCAAACTACGCAGCCAGGCTCCGCCATCACACTTCCAAGTCTTAAGCTTATTAGTCCTGAGCCCGTGTCTGCTCACTGAACACGCGTCAGTAGCACGCGTCAACAGGAAAACGTCAAATCCAGCACACAAGGTATCAAATTTCTGTTTGCATCAGTGCACGTTTTATCTGTCGGACATGAAACATAGTAGTTTGTAGGGCTACGGTTTCAGAGTCCATTTTAGTCTCATTCCTGGCGAGGGGGGGGACCTTTCTGATTACGCTCAGGGCAGAATATTTTCAGAATGGCTGATGCACGGCTGCAAACATCCCGGTACTGTCAGTTGGCCGGCCTACTCCTCCGTCGAGTCCGCAGACAAGCAAGCGCTCTGCGGAATGACTGAACCCGGTTTGCCAAGCTCCTGTTTGGTAGGATAGGATGTCTCTCTTTTACATGTCTCTCTTTCGGTTTCTTTCCCCTTTCTCCCCCTTCTTTTTTTCTGGGAGCTCTGTTGCGCTACATTCCCACCGTGGGATTGTGGGTGATCTGTGCAAAAAAGACTTTGGAGGGGTGTGTGGGGGAAGCATTTGTTTACAACCGTGTCCTCAGCTCTCACACACATCAGAAACAATTTGTCACACACACACACACACACACACACACACACACACACGCACACGCGTGTGTTTGTGGAGGGAAATGTGCGTACCCCAGCAGAAATAACGCACTGAAAAGCCTTTTTGAAATGCCACTGACAACCCCCAATAATTAGGTAGCTGGCCGAGACAGACAGTGGGCTCTTAAGCATCACTCCTGTGAGCACTCGTCTCTTTGTGGCCCCAAACAGTAGGAAGGAACTTGTCTGACATGCGTGAAGAAGCTGTCAGTTCAAGAATTTACATCTCTCTTACCCCCACCTCCTTTTCTACGAATCACTACAGATGGACAACAAAGGCTGGAACGGACAAAAGGCGTCATTTACCGAAGCGACGAGTAACAGTGAGTATCCGCACGTCTCCCTCTGTCTCTATCCGTTTCCTCCTATCCCTCCTCCCCATCCTCCATCCCCCGCCCTCCCCCCCCCCCATCCATCCCGCAGGTGGTTTTAGCCGGCGAGATGGCCCTGCGTTTAATCTCTGTGACTGGTCAATGGGCTTCTGACTGTCAGCTTAATCGGCCGTGCGTCCTCGTGGGGAGCCTGCAGATTGGGGCTCATTCACACAGGCTTACGGGGCAGGCACACTGAGGCCCACCGGGGAGCCCCCACCCCCCTCACCGCCTTCCAGGGCAGGGAAAAAAAGTAGTCTTTCACTCAGGATTAACACACGGGCACCCTGGAGCACAGATGCACACACACCCGCACCACAGTCCTACACACACAGACTCAAAGCGTTAAGGCAACCTATATGGTGAGATGAAGGTGTACCACATACACAAAATATGAGGAAATCTCATAAAAAAAGCTCTGGAACTTCGAAGTGAAAACAAAGGAAGCTCGTGTTAACATTCACTAATATAATTTGTAATATATATAATACTTTACAATGTGTATACAGTAATTTCCCCTTTTGATTGGCCTGTGACCGCTGTCTTTGTTTTTGATGCAGTTTGTGATGTGTGGTGGAAAAACTGTAGTCTGCACTCTTCAACATATTAAATCGATTCATAGTGCGTGTTTGAGTGCAGCCAGGCCTCTCTGATTCGGAGTCGAACCCTTAATTGGTTGGATGCTTGAAATATCTTTTATGCATTGGAATTTTCTCCCCAGAGGATGAATCCTTTGGGAGCCCCCTGACATTCCCCCCGCTCCATCATGCGGTCAGTATTTTTGGGTATTAGTGAGAAGTTGTCAACAGCTTTTCCCATGACATTTGGTACTGACATCCATGTCCCCTTTAGGAGGTCACAATTCCAATTGGTCCAACACTTTAGTTTATAATCAAAGACATAATAAAATATTTGTCTGCTTTGTGCAGCTTGGTGCTAATCACCAAATGTCAGCCTGCAATCAGGCTAAAGGAAACACCCGTTTATAAGACAAATGCTTGTTCACGCTCTCACTGCGAGCGTTGAATAATGCTGACGTAAGCGCGCGGCCCGAGACAGCGCTGTGTCTTTAGCGTAGCCTCTTGCGGCCGCTAGCTCGGCTGTGAAACGTCTTGCGCCGCATTGAAGAACGGTCCCCTTTCACAACCGCTGAATGCTGTCGTGTCATACGAGATCCCACCTTACCGCAGATGGCTGACAATGACCTATTTATTCAACTGCATGCGAAAGTCTCTGTCAAAGACTGTTTTATGAAAGCATTCATGTTTTAAATTTACATGGGAATGTCATGGCCCTTAAGTGGCGCCCAATCGTAAAGATGCAGCCCCCCCCCTAACACCAATACTCGACTGTTCCAAAGACTTGCTATTTTCAGTTGTTTTCCCGGTCTCCAGAATCCTGCTTCAAGATCATTTCTCCATTCATACCACATGGCGTGTCTGAAAATCATTACGAAAATAATTCATAGTCCCCACAGTTGCTTAAGCACATCAACGTGCGTCGGGGAAAATACACAAGGCCGGTTTTGTTGTGACGCGGATGTGTGTGAGTTTCACCCCGGATGCCAACAAAGTAGATGTCAACAGCTCGAGAAAAAGCAGTTCAGGAGTCAAATGAACGGCGTGTGAGACGGTGGAGCAGCCGAGTGGAAAACAAAGCGATATTATTAATAGAGTGGAAGTTGCTGTCACTCGGGTCTGACGCAGGCTTTTTGGCAGCGCTCTCTCGGACGCGCCGGTGTCCAGCTCCAGTCTTATGAGGGGAATGAATGTTTGTTGTGTTGAAAAGTACAAAGCAGATTGGTAAGAATCTGCGCTCGTTTTTTGCCTGTCGCCGGACCACGCTCGATTTTTACAAAATCCAGATGAGGACTGGGCGCCGGCCACAACCTTTCACAACACTCATTAAAAATGCAATTTAGTCCAATTCCCTGAATGATGTATCATCTAAATTATGGTTATAGAAAAGTTCTTGTTTTTCTTTCGGTGGTTGTGGTTTCTATGGTGGCTCAAGCATTGCCCAATACCCTCTGGAGAAACCCCGCCGACACCAAGTTGTCCCGATTTGGGGATCGTTCCCATTTTTGGACCGGAGCGTGTCTGTGGTGCCGTGTCATCCACACGCGTAGTTCATCTCCGACTCAGCGGGAGGCGTAACTATCTGCAGACTGTCTCTTTTAAAGTCGCCCAGACTGCAGAGCACTCACGCGACGCGTTTAAGACTGTTCAATGTTTATTGCATAAACACCATTCGCGACTCACTCAAACCGACAGCTGGCCTCGGTTTTCCAATTCGATGCGTTTTTAGTGAATAGAAGATGGAATAAGTAAATGTGTTTGCAGCATGCCTTGTAAAAAGATCAAGCATCGGAATGATTGCAAAAAAAAATTATAGTATAAACGGTGATCATTTTCTATTTGTTTTAAAGGAATTTTAAGAGAAAATAAATGGCAAAATTGGTCAACTTTACAAGTGTTTAAATTACAGGAGCTGTTTTACAGCTAAAAACAAGTTTACAGAGACTTCAAGTTTGTATGTGAAGCGTATGTGATGCTGCTGCAAGAAAACTACAATATGGAAGCAGTTACGGAATGCAATGCACAAACGCATCCCCCATGAACAGTATGACCGATGGGTTGGACACCATGATATTATTTTGGTATGTAATGCTGTGTATTTGCATCAAGGGAGGTGGATTTATTGCGTCTTAGTGGTTGGTACCTGAGCTAACGCACAAGTTGTCGTTGTCTAGCATAGAACCGAACATTGCTGCAGTGTGTAAAGCAAAGTGTCCTCTGCCCTGAGTGATTCGAGGGATGCGGAGCTACAACAAACAGGGTGGCTCGGAGGCAGGAAGGGAGTGTAAAAAAGTAAATAAAAAGAAAAAAAGTAAGTCATTTTTCTCTCTTTTTATTCCCATGGGTACGGCAGCAGGGCTTTTCACTCGAGTTGCCACATTTCATTTCCTGCCGTACATGCATACGTGTGTGTGTGTGTGTGTGTGTGTGTGTGTGTGTGTGTGTGTGTGTGTGTGTGTGTGTGTGTGAGAACTCTGTGCGGGTCTCACTCCACCGCGGTGATTTACAGCGGCGGGCCCTGGCCCTATCTGTTTTCGATCAGTGTCATGCTTGGCTCTGGCTTCCCTCCAGCTCTCCCCGGGCCCACCGGACGTGGAGTCTGGGTGGGACCCCTTCCAACGCGGCCTGGGACCGGCACCGCTGACCCACTCTCCCGCGCCGCGCTTCTCCCCTTCCTCCTTCGCGTTCGCTTGTTTCACAATCTCCGGCCCCGGCGCAGAAACGCACTCCTCGACTCTCGCTCGCTCTCCAACCGCCTCTCCTCCTTTGTGTCTCTCTCTCTCTCTCTCGCGCGTCTCTCACGCTCTCACTTGCCGTCAGACAGCCGCCTTGAGCGCTCACATCACATGCAAACATCCTCGCCGGCACGCCCACGCGCACACGCAGGCAGACAATTGCACACAATTTTCTTTGTCCGCAGCTGATGTCATGTTGGCCAACACCTTTTTTTTGTTTCTTCTTGCAAAACGCTCCGAATGTGCAGGCCTGCGAGTTTTACTCGTGTAAATTCTAATTAAAGTTGTCATCAGGATTGGGAGGGAAGTGGAGGGCCGGGGGAGGATTGTAACAATTGTGTCATTGCTGGCGTGGGGCACTTTGTTGTAGAATGAGTAATACGTCCTGGATCGCTTCCTTCAGCCTCTCTGCTCCTCTGGAAAGGAAAGCGGACTGCCGGCGCAGGTTTGATTTAACCTTCGACGGGAGACGGCTAGAAGGGCGCAAAGCTCTCCTGCTCTGCACGGCGTAATGTTAACGCAAACAGGAAGTGGCCTGTCATTCACGCGCTCACTCCGGCGCTTTCTCCCAGCTGTTGGCCCGTGCACTCACACGCACAAGCAAGCACACATGGATGTACGCACGGACGCACACACACATCCAGCTGGTCCCCCCCCCCCCCCCCCCGTCCGTCTCCTGCGACCTCGGCGGGGCTTCGGAGGCTTTTCCACATCCATTCATCACCTCCTCATCCATCTGCACTGGCTCGCGTGCTCATCCTTCTGCTTTTTTTTTTGTTTTTTTTAATCCTTCAGATCTCATATTCCTTCCACTCACTTTCATCGCAACCACAAAGTGTTTTGCGTTGCCATACCCGTTTCAGGACGGTGATGTCTGAGATGCGGGAAATAAGCCCAGCTTTCAGATGTGCTTCTGCCCCTCGGATCGAAATTGCTCCGGACTGGCAAAGTAATCTCGCACGACCGCAGACATGAGACCCGACCAGCTACCGAGGTTCCGTTGCGATCTGCGTTTTCCGAAGAGCCGTCCTGAGTGAAGCAGGATGCCGGTTCGCTGACGGCACCGTTTCCCATCGCTGATGAAGTCATGGCCGCTCTGTTGATATTGGTGGATCCTCTGTTTGTGTGAGAGAGAAAGAAGCTCTGTGTGTGTGTGTGTGTGTGTGTTTGTGTGTGTGTGTGTGTGTGTGTGTGTGTGTGCGTGTTTCCCAGCAGACACTTTGACAGCGGCCGGAACTGCCAAACCACATGAAACTGTCATTTACGTTCGGTGCTGGAATGTCAGCTCGGGTGCCAGTACACACAATTGCACACATACACACTTACACAAACCAGTGCACACGGTTAGGAACACACACAGACTCACACAACCTGGTGTTGTTTGGTAGTGAGTGACAGACGAATATGTGTGAAAATAATTTCAGCTAATAACGAGAGCTATAGTATCCGTTTTGATCCCACTTTTGTCCCCCAACCTCCTACATTGTCTCTTTCTCCTCCTCTTAACCACTTGACTCCATCTATTCTCAAACTCTGTTTCCCCCCATTCCATCTCTATCTTCTCTTTCTCTCTTATTTCTTTTCCTTCATCCAACCCTCATTTTGTTTCTTTTTGTTCATCTGATCCCAATCTCCATCTTCCATCCATCCCTTGATCCCGCCAGCCCCGAAGGGTCTGCTCCACCTCAGCCCTGACGTCTACCAGGAGATGGAGGCCAGCAGGAAGCAAGGGGGCGGCGCCCCGGGCCCCGGTGGGGGCAGCGGCGGCGGAAGCAGCAGCAGCAACAACAACAACTGCGGCGGCTCCGTCAACTACATGACGTCCAAAGACATGGTGCCCTGCTCGGCTCCGCTGCCCCCGGGACACCCTCTGTACTACGGCGGCCCGGGCTCCTCGCCCAGCCCGACCGCCACCATGGCCCGGGAGCTGCTGCTCAACGGGCAATCCCCCACGGCCGACGCCTCCCTGCCGATGAAGAAGAACTCGTCCCTGCCCTGCGGCGTCTCGGTGCAGCCTGCACAGCAGCTGGACTACCTGGCGCGCATCCAGGGCTTCCAGGTGAGACGCACCGCTTTCAAGGTGATCTAGAAAACAAAGTATACGCTACATGGGAATACTGACATGCCCATGCAAAGATAGTCCTGCTTCTTTAGTTTTGCAAATATTTCTATTTCCTCTGCTGGCAATTTCTTATTTTATTTCACTTATGCAAGGGACGCCATTACATTCTGCAGGAACACTGCTTACTGTAGATATGCAAAGGCCGAATATTGTTCTTTAACACATTGCTGTGTAAAAAGCCACATCAGGAAGAGCCTCCATGTTTCCAATTTCACATTTAATTTCACGTGTGGAATGCAGGCTTAGCTCCAAGTTAAACTTGATAAAAGCCGCAGTCAACCTGTGCTACAGTCGTACAATATGCGAAACATGTTGATGTGACCGTCCAGATGTTGGCAAGACCATGAATAAATACCCCCCCCACACACACACACACACACACACAGTCTGGTCTTGGTTGACCTGTGTGGTTATGAAGTAGAAAAGTTGCGCACACAAACACACTACTTAAAACCTCATTAGACGGGCTTTCTGTGTCGAGGCTCATGCACTCTACACAAACAAACATTCACGGTGCAATTACAGGTGGTCTGAGGTGGAGGAGACTTTCTTCAAAACAAGAGTGGTGCCCTTACTGGAACTGCTTGATAACGCACCGTCTGCTTCCCGTTTCTTACCGTGGACATTATTGGACACTGTGGATTTAGAGCTGGAACTAAACCTCACAGGTGCTTCTGTCATTACCCAACATGGACACACACACTTGCTGTTTGCACGTGCAAGTGTGTGTGTGTGTGTGTGTTTTAAAGAGAGGCGACTCTGTCTGTTTTAATCAGTGCCGGCCGTTCTGCGGTGCAAACCACGGCGGGCCACATCAGTGCACGTTCACTGAAGCCGCAGATGCTTTTTATCATTTCGAGCGAAAACATTTTATCTTAACCTGCCGAGGGTTCCTTTGAACGGCCTTTGTTATTGCTCTGCGTGTGTGTGTGTGTGTGTGTGTGTGTGTGTGTGTGTGTGTGTGTGTGTGTGTGTGTGTGTGTGTGTGTGTGTGTGTGTGTGTAACTTGAGTTAGCCCTGCTGCTTGCCCAAGCCCAAATACACTTGTACATATGAACACACACACAGCAGGTTCTGTTTAGTGGCGTTGAGCTTGAGTCTGTGTGTAAAGATTTTTTTTAAATATTTGTTCTCATACTGCACAAACTGTATCCCAGTGCATATGTATATCTATTGTCGATGCATGGACCTTAGTAAATAAATGCAAAACATACACATATGCACGTTTTTATTATGCAAACATAATAAAATGTGCGTGTGTGTTTCTTATGCGCGGAATTCAGGCTCTAATTGAGACATGCAGACAATATGTGTTCTATTGAGGGGATGTTTCATATCATGTGGGTTTGTAATGAGAACCTCTGGTTGCCTACAAAGCCATGTTAGGCAGAATGTATGTGTTCTTAATGTTTTTTTTGTGAGCTAAACCACCACAGATTTTTTCATGTTTCTTTTCCCAAAGTGTACTTGCCTGCTTTTCCACTTTATGTGCTGCTTTCTCGTGACCATAAACCAGCGCTCGGAACCATCGTAACCTATTTTAGAATTGTTTTTGCTGTTGTTATTTGATAACAATATCCTTGATTGATTAGTAACTTTTTTTTGTTATCCTAGTGAACGGATTAGAGCGACCGCCCAACACTGGATTAAAGCAACGAAGGAAGCACCGAGGACCTTCTCATAGTGTCTGTTTCATCTGTGCAGCTCCGCAGACAAAGGCCCGGGCCTACCTGCTAAGCCCTGCTGTAGATTGGATTGGAAAATAGCCTCTGGTAGAAACTTTGACAGGATAGGCAACAGTATGTTGTACTCGCGCCAGCTCCGAGCAAGGATGCTGGCACACGCACACTGTTTGTGTGTGTGTGTGTGTGTGTGTGTGTGTGTGTGTGTGTGTGTGTGTGTGTGTGTGTGTGTGTATTTCCTATTAATTAGGCTGGCGTGTTGTTGGCACGGTGGGTATGTGCGCTGGAAGTAGGGCAGAAACAAAGAAGCAGGAGGTAATAGACAACACATGGAGCGAGGATGAGGCACCGAGTAAGAGCCACGTAACAGATTCTCCCTCTTTCTCCATTTATTTCTCTCTCTCTGCTTTCTTTGGTTAACGATTGCTACGCGTGGGTCACTTTGCACCTTCCATCATAATCACTTCCCCAGTTCTTATTTCTTCCCTTTTGCTTCCAGGTATTTTCCCTCTTTCTCTCGTGTCACTGTTCACCTCAACTCAACTCACTGTTGGTACCGAGAAACGGTCGGTTCCATGCAAGTAAAGCTGTGCCGAACCATGCGGGGAATTACGGTGTGATTGTGTAGTGTAAGGAAGTGGACGGGTTCGACCCCAGATTTGCAGTCACCAGCTGCCCATTAACTCTGCCATCACAATCATCTCAAACTGCCGCGGCATGAGACGATGAACCGTTGCCTCCCTTTAAAGAGAGCCAAAGAAATTCATATAGAATTCCAATAATTGATGGAAAGCCGATGATTTATGTTTTCTCTATTAAATGGATTTGGTGACAAACACCTGGATTGAGAATAAACTATACTGCTTGTGAGGAGATAATCTGTGTCGTGACTTGAATGCGACGCAGTGATGCAACGGAATGTGATTATTTGGCTGCAACCTCTGCTCATGCAGACTAGTATTTCTGTGGTGCCTTTGTAAAGCTTTTGCCTTCTATGATGTCCAATCGGCATCACTAATCATTTTATACCAAAATACCAATACGACACAGAACAGGAAGCAGAGATCCCATTATTTTTGCTCTGCATAATGCAGTGAGCCAATTTCAGAACTAACTGGCACGTTCCTTTAATAGTATCACCTCCATCCGCACAAATTACTCCCCTACTGAGGTTGTGTTTTGCTTGTGCAAATGGAAAATATGACAGAACCACTTTGTGTATTCTGGCAGATATTCTAAGGAGCCTGTATACGTTTTGATAGTTGACATGTACATTTTATTTATTCTGTCATAAACAATAAACACAACAATTTTAACTTAAATAAAAGACATTCACAGTTACGCTCAGGAACATCACCATCAGCTCCAACTGTCCCATCTACTACGTAATAAAAAAGTACTGCAGCAGTATTTTTGGTGTCTTATAAACCCCACGGGTGGTTGGGCAAGCCGTGTGCATGACACCAACGTGTGCAAGATCAATAAAGCACTCAATCATTCGCGTGGGTCAGAGGTTAACTCTCAGTCCCATCCTCCTGCATATTGCGATCAAACACTCGCACACAGTATTCGAACATTCCATGTTGTGACTGGAAGGCTTTGATGGGATCTACTGTACATATCTGTTCCGTCCACCTGCTAACCCCAAACTCAATAACTTCGCAGAGATAGCAATCACCTGAGTTATGCTATCTAGCCAGGGCCGGCTTTAGTTGGGAGGGCCCGAGCACTTTGCCGTGCTAGAGTCAGAACTTCCACGCTGGAAATCCCATGATAATGAAAACACTGTCCTTGGCGGGTGGCTGGTGTTGATATCCATTCCGTGCAGTTCCCAGGATTTCTCACACTTTCACGTTGTTTGCTCGACTCCCTCGCTCTGCTGCCTTCTTTGGCTGTGTAGAAAAACCCACTTCAAATGGTGCCGACCACACCTTGTGTCCTATCTGGCACTTTCGCCGCTCCGCTCCTTTCCTTTCCTTTTTTTTTTTTTTTCACATCCTTTCTTCATTTTAAATGCTGACTCTTATGTCCCTGTATCAACATGAAACCCCTGATCTGCTACAAACGTTCAAACAGTTTGTTTCCAGTATCGTTGTCATCGACTCGTTCCTCCAACCTCTGTTTACTCTGGGATTTGTGTTAAAAAATACATCTCGGGATGTTTAATCCCACCATGTTTGATTTCTGCGGCAGGGTGATGGCTTCCAGCTGTGCTCCGCGGCATATTTGTGTGAAGACCGATCTTCGAAAACAAGTTTTGTCTGTGGTATAAATCAGAGCATTTATGCTGTGCTGGCTCGGCGCACGGTCTCTCCGCTCACATGGTGGCCGTGTGTGCGTGTCGGCGTGTGAGTCTGTGTGTATGTATGTGTGTGTGTGTGTTTGGCAAAAAACTGAGCGATGATGTTTTTAACCCCACAATCAAGCCCATTTGTAAACCGTTAAATCAAATCAAATCGTTAAATTCCCTCAAGTGCCAACACGGCATGTTGCAAATTTGAATATGCAGCGTTTCCTTCTTTTTTTTTATGTGCTTTTATTCTCTTGATTTCAATAGCATGGATCACATTTAATTTAATTCTCGACACTAGGCAGTAGAAGCAGCTGTGTGCCATCACAGTCGCGAAACAAGATTGGGTTGTGTAAACTCTTCTTCTCCTATCATCTGCACAATAGTTGCTGTGGCGACCGTGGCTCTGTCCAAAGATGATAACAATAAAAAACCGCATTCCGCAGCCTCACGGAAAGATAGTAACTCACCGTAAAAAGACCACGTCAAAACCACCAGCGGGAAAAGCGGATAAAACAAGCGACGTGGTAATCGGATGCTAATCTTTGAACAAACCGGCGCTAGCTGCTTCAATTCTCTATGCTATGCTAAGCTAAGCTGGGAAGGCTAAAATTAGTTGCTTTGTATTTATCACGTGGATCGTCTCGCTGTTGGACCAACTAGTATTTGTTTTGGACACGTTTTTCACTGGAAACTCTCTTCCACGTGGTTCCCCAGAGTGAGCTGGCCTCCTTCAGCCGTCTTTGTCCCGAGGCCCCTCTCTGTGATTCAGGCAAAGGGCTCTCGACGTTTTCAGAGTGACAGCTTTGTTTGTCCTTAACCCTGACCCGCCATCGGGACTCGGGAAACGTATATTCACAGTGTCCTTTGAACACTCTTGACCCCTGATGGTCCCCACTCGAGTGGCTCGACTCGGGCCCCTAATTGCTGCTCACCAACAATGACGGCGTTCCTCAGCGCAGAGGGCTTGTTTTATTATAGAAAAGTCAACGTTGTTTCCGTTCAACCTGATTCTCCGCGCAGCAAGTTTGGAACCGAGCTCTTTGTCCTGCAGAACTTGTGTTCTCTGTTTTTGAACAACTGGTGGTTTATGACACAACGCATGGCAAGTGTTTGTTTTCACGGTTACCTTGACAGTATTGCGTAACGCCGGCCTAACGATATGGACTTCTGCACGCATGTCAGCCCCCCACCTCCCCCACACATGTCAGTTGGGTTTCCTGCTTGTGGACATGCACTTAACGTGGATTTGGGGCATGGCTGCGTGCACCGTCGCGACCGTGATTCCCTTTTACTTTGTGCGCATGTTCGTTTTTTTCGTCGGCGAGGAGCATCTGAAGAGGAGCCAGCCAGCTTTAGGAGCCAGATGTCAGAGGTCGTTCCACGTTAGTGCCGTCGATCAATCGCAGGCCTTGCGTAACTCTCTTGCCTCTTTGTCTTTAAAGGAAGTGGATTAGAGGCCGTTTACTGAGTTGGGACCTGGAATGATTAGTTAGGCCTGTTTTTAGAATGCATGCACTCACCGATGCACACAAACACGCATTCAAAACCCACATCCTGTCTGGGAGAATAGACGGTTTGTTTTAAAGAGGCTCGTTATTTCAGTTAACGCCGAATCGTCGCATATGAGATAAAGCCACAGACTTCTTTGATGCTGGCACAGCTTTCATTTCCTACCTGCAGGTCAGAGTTCTTGTAAAATCCCCAAACTGACCAGGATATTTTATTGTTTCATCAGAAAGCCACCAAAAAATGAAAGACCTCCAGGTGGCGTTTTGGTGACATCTGCCAATTTAGCTGTTTAATCCAGGATTTGGAGCAAGTCAAGGTGGTGGACTGGAATTTTATCATATCCAAGCCATAAAAGTGGAGACAAAACTATTATATTGTAGCACTTAAATTGTACTTATAACGTCACTCATCTATAGCAAATTGTAAATTGGCTTATTTGAGGAAATTGCACTTTCTTGTTCTCCTGAGTTTGTACCCAATGGTTGAATGCACTTATTGTACGTCGCTTTGGATAAAAGCGTCAGCTAAATGACATGTAATGTAATGTAATATAAATATTAGCAATCTTCCCTCCATCAATAGCTTCATTTACAGGGTAGATGCCAAAGTCAACAAGATCACATATTCGATATGTTTGATTTAATTTAATCACAACCAACCAAAGGAGAACTTCCATGTGTATTTGGGAACACAAACACTTGTGTAATGTTCAAAGATACTTATTAATTGGTGGTTTCCATCAACTGAACATACACATTTCTGTCCCTGTACTCTCTTCACAATGGGAGAAGTTTAAAATAATTAGAAATTTGATAAATCAGGCGTATATATCTCTTTCCGACCAGAGAGCGAGGGAGATCGTGTGTTTCCTCCAAGCGGCATCAAAGGGCCTCGCCCTCGGCTGGAGGCCCGACAGCTCGCGATAGATGAAGCGAGCAAAGTGATTGGACGACATGATTGCACCATACATCTCCCAAACCACGGGCCTTTATACTCCCCGCCTTTACACGCAGGTTAATATCTATTCCCACGCAAACGCAGTCCTTTACAAAACGGTCTGAAGGAGTTTGCGAAAGAAGCTGTATGTTCTTGTTACCAAACAATGAGATTCATACTCTTAAAAAGTGCTCCCCTTTGGGTTTTTTCTTTCTTCCTTTCTCTCCTTAACGTCAAAGTCTGGAGAATTTATTGGAGATTAACTTGTCAGAGGAGGCTTTTTCCACGGCTAACTTTACGACATTCATCATTCATACACATAACAGATAGCATTCCACAATTTGTCACCGTGGGCCCCGTCTCCCCGGCAGCAGGTGTGCGCGCACATGCACGCATTGGTAAATGTGTGTGTTCTTGCGTACCGAGCAGAACATCTCATGTTTGTGCACATCTTTGCAACGGGCAGACATGCATGCGTCTGGCCGGGCCGGTGCACGCACGCTCTGTTCCACGCATGTTCATAACTCACAGAGGAGACGCACACAACGTGCTCTGGAAGCTTTCAGTCACAGACCATACGCAGCTGCTCGCACGCCCGTGTGTACAAATTTTCCATGTAGAGCCAACAAATTGCAGCCCGTCGTAGGCTTGATCCGGTGAGCAGAAGTGAATGTGCTCAAAGCAGACGCGCACGTGCGTTTTGTGTCGTCACATACATGTGTTGTTGCTTAGGAGGTAATAGGAACTTGGAACTCCTCGGCAAACAAAAACAAGCAGTCGAACCAATAGCCCCATTATAGATGAATTGAACAGATATCAACATTGAAATGTCTTCCAACTCATTTTTCTGTAACATGAGTTGTTATGGAAATGATACATTGATCTATAAAAGTATGTGGAATTGATTTAAGCATCATGGTATTTCTTTTGTTTATTTTGGGTGTAACTAATTCCACTCATCGTGGCCCACAAACCCTTTTTATTTCTTATTTTCATGTGACTGACTTATTGTAGCAGTTTGAAGTGCGGTGCTTTCGCACAGAGGGAGCTAGAAGCTGCAACATGACAGTGGCTAAATGCTTCAATACCTGCCATCGGCTCTTTGACGTGTGAGAGCATTTTCGGTCTCGCCCTCGCTCCTTCTGTCCTTTCTTGTATTGCTGTCAGAACTTTCTCTTCTCTCAGGTCTCATATGTATTTTGTTTTCCATTTATTAAGATGCCTGCAGCTGTCCTGGGCATAAGTAGGCCAGGCAAACGCATGCACTCGCGTACACGTGCAAATACACACGCACGTGCACAGAGAAGTAGGGCAGGCATTTTCACCAAAGCCCTTGGATCTCGTGAGCAGACCCGTCCCAGAGGAGCATCGTGTCATAACAGTCCTGATTGCACAGCATTTAGGAAGGCCTGCAGAGTTAACCTCTCCGTGATGAGGGGTCGCCAGTGATGTCATCATTACCCCCCTCTGATGTCCTCCAAATCGTACTCATACACACCATTGCGTTCATTCCCCTCTGTTGCCATCTCTGTATGGTGTGGGGTAATTGTCCACAAATGGTCTGTGGTGGCAATTAGGCATGCAAGATTTACTCTCAAGCCGACCTCTTCCAAAAACACAGGAAAACCTTCGATGCTTCAGGTCTCTGGTTTCTTGCGCTTTGATAGATCTTTTCCTGTGTTTACTTTAAGGGTAACTCAGCTATGTCCGCCTTTGCCCCCCCCCTTCCAGGTGCAGTACAGTGATGCGCAGAGTGGCAAGGATTTCGTGACCTATCTGACCCTCTCCCCTGTGCAGATGACTTTCCACGGCACTGGGAGCACCCTCCAAGCCAGCCATGACCAGGTATGTGTATGCGTGTGTACTGTGTGTGAAGGAAAGGTGGGTGTCACACCTGTTCAAAGCTGTACTGCCAAAAATGGGACAAAGATGTCTAATATTGATCAAAGTGGGTATTAGTGTTGCGTAAGCTGGTTATAGCAATGACAATCTGAAAGTTGCCAGATATGAAGGAGAATTGAAACCTGACATCTCTGGTTGCAAATCCTTAATGCAGTTATTTTGGTTATACGTAAAAAAAGAATAATAATAAAAAAATCTGAGTTATGACCTTAAATGACCACACATACAACTATGTCAATTAAAATGGCGTTCATAAATCATTTTATCACCGCGTTCGAACCGTAAATGACAATCCCCATATGACGGCCGATTGTATCAGACGGCTGTACTCTTTAGGTTCACTGAAGTGTAGCACGTAATGTGTGTGCATACAGGGTTCTGTCTCCGTCGGGGTCTCGTCCTCTAATTAACAGAGAAGCCTCGGCTCCGTGGCTTTAATATTAATCACCAGGGCGTCACAGCAACCTGTGATAATTACCACTCATTGCATTTCTCCTTCACAAGCCTCCGCCGCCAGTTCGCCATGACTTTCCATCCACCAAAGTAATCCGCATCCTTAAAAAGCCTTGTGGCATACCCTTCTTTCTCTCTCTCTCTCACGCCCGCTCTCTTTCTCGTACTTCCCATACTCAGAAGGAGGCTCATTGTCTTGTGTTGCCCAAGCAGAAAACCCGTTGCTTACATTCTATCACCTAAACATAAGGACGCCCCTTTTATTCAACGGCCTTCAAAGCTTTAATAAAGAGCCGGCCTGGCCCTGAATGGGACAGCTGAGAGGGGGCTAGCACCGCCGCCACGCTAGCCGAGAGCCAAGCCAATATAGGCCAGGCAGGTCTGCGTCCTCGGGACCTGTTGTTGCCAGGAGCACTGGTGCATGACCGACTGTTGGAGGAGGCCTTTCTTTTACTCCTCTCTGTACAGTGAGGAGTGCGGCCCACAAAGGGCGCAACTGACAATAAGGGGTCGCCCCCCCGGCAGCCCCCCTAAAAACCCCAACAACGAGGCGCCGTGCATTCCGTCCACTGCTCGCCGCGGACGCTGGGAGGACGCGGCGAGCAGTGGACGTAGTAATTAGGCGCGTGGGGGGTTACCTGCGGTTTTTATCGTGGATCAGATTCATCCGTCGTGCCGCAGAGTTGCAAATTGATAGTTTGGCGGAGGTCCGCGGGACTCGCAGACACACACACACACACACACACACACACACACACACAAAACAGCCAGAGGAAATGTTCTTCCCACCTCGCTGCCCGTGATGAATAAAGGAAAGACGTGGGTATTCTTTTGATCCGGTTTTTGATCTTTATTTGCCAACACAAGTGAGCCTCTTCCCGATGTTTGGTCCATGTTGTGGCAGCAGAGGTGTAACAAAGACCTGTTGGGCTGTAAACATGGAGAGTGTTTGTTATCGAATATGCCACTTGATTAGCCGCCACGTGAGATGAGGACTAAAGAAAAAAGAAAAGAGCGCACGCACTTCAGGGATTGTTGCACAACAGAGCAAAGATGTAATCTGATCAGTTAATCAGCCCACTGTGGCAGCAGCAATAACAACGGTGAGCGAGTTTACTGTCAATAATAGTTCAAAGGACAGTTTTCAAATTGTGGCCCACACTTTGTTGTTTTGGTTTAAACCCAAAGTTCATGGGTCCCTCCCTCCCCCGGGTGCTCCCCCCTCTGTCTTGGTCCCCGGGTGAACCAGATATTTGTATATTCATTACCATTTGTGTTGGGCATCAGTAGCCGATCATTGGGGTGAATGCTGCATCCATGTTTCTGATAAAGTAAATAAATGAAATCCATAATAAAGTAAGAAATTACTAAATTGGGTTGCTTTTATTATGTACGAAATGTCACGACTATTAAAATACTTCACTAATGAGTATATTCGTTTATTAGATCCGTAGATGTTATATTATCCGTAGAAGGCATCGTTATTTCTTCCATATCCAAAGATCTCCACTCATCCGGGTTCCCCTTTCTAGGTTATTAATGCAATATGTTTCAGTGTTTACGCATTTCATCAGTTGGGCAGCTATTAAATCTGTCTGTAGGCTTGTTTAGTGTGGAGCATCCCGTTGTACTTTAGTGATTGTGTACATGTTTCACTCCTAAAACACTTGGATGACACTACCTGTGAGTCTGGACATGAATATTCCTAGTTTAAAAAAAAAAAAAGGGAATTGGCTGTTAAAGTAAAACCGTCGTACAGCCTTCTGCTGAAAGGTAAACATTACTTATCGCGAGCCAAGCTCTTTATCAACAAGTGCAGACGCGCGGCGCAGAAACGCCGGCACACAAACCGCAGTGCCATAATCCTTGGCCTTGTGTGGACATTCCTGGAGGGCCTGTACGTGTGAGAGATATACAGCTGAGTGCTCTTTCTGACCTTATGTGCCATCCATTCGGTGCCATCTGCCAAACACATGTGAGCCGGAAAACTGGCCTGCAGCCAAAGATGTTTGTCAACATACTCTACATTTTGACTCTGGATTCTTTTGCTGATGGCTTCTGCCTTTAGGGTACAGTGTTTCTAATTAATGTCTTCATCCAAAACATCTGGCGTCGCTCTATGCTAAGTAATACTTGGTTTTTTTGGGGGTTTTTTGCTTGATCGATGTCTGCCAGTCACACGGACTAATTCAAAGCCATGGCTGTAGGATATATATATATATATATATATATATGTATATATATGTATATGTATATATATGTATATGTGTATATATATGTATATATATGTATATGTATATATATGTATATGTGTATATATATGTATATATATGTATATGTATATATATGTATATGTATATGTGTATATATATGTATATATATGTATATGTATGTGTATGTGTATATATATATATATATATATGTATGTGTATGTGTATATATATATATATATATATATATGTATGTGTATGTATATATATATGTATGTGTATGTATATATATATGTATGTGTATGTATATATATATGTATGTGTATGTATATATATATGTATGTGTATGTATGTGTATGTGTGTATATGTGTGTATATGTGTATATGTATTTAGACACTTCTTCTTCTCGACTGCGCTAGATGCTTTTCACACAGGCTTATTTCTGTGTTTGTTCTGCCGAGCTGAAGTAAGTCCCTGGCGCTCCCTCTGTGGCGGCAGTCGGATACCGGGGGGGCCGAGGCCCACTGTGTGTGCAAGGTGTCGCTGGTCCAACATGAGCGGCCCGCAATCGAAGATGACAGGGTGACTGTTGTCTGCCACCAGACTCGGTGTGTGCGTGTGTGTGTGTGTCTGTCTGTGTGAGAGAGTGCGGGGTAGCTTTGCGTGCAGTAATGTCCTCAGCTGAGCCACCACGGGTCCTGGGGGCCCAAGTCTCCCACATTTTCAGCAGTGACTGCTGGGGTTTTCTGCAGCGGGAGCCCATTTTGGCTGATTTGATGTGACACGTATCAGGATTAAAATGTGTTTAAGACATGCTTTCAGGTAATGAGGCCTAATTCTTTATATATTTTTTTGCTTTTGTGTGTGAATTACACCAGGTTTGCTTCTCTGAATGCTAGTTTTCCGCTTTTCTCTTTGTGTTTTTTCATCTTGATGAGCAAATCCATGTTTTGCAACGCCTGTTTATGAACAGACTTCTGTGAGAGAGTCCTATGATTCCTCGTGGGCGCAGCCCCTTCACATGGTTGGAATCATAAAGCACCAATTGGTCACATGCTTACTCTCATCAGCTTATGATGCCCGATTCGCACACTGTCGCCATCCCTCACGGTTACACAATCCTCCCTGCTGGAACACTGGGCAGCCTTGCCGAAAGGAATTGTGCGTCTGACCTTGTGCCTAGTGTGTGGATTTTTTTTTTCCGCCAGCAGAGCTGGGACGAGGACACAAAGGTCAAAGGAGCTGGGGCCACAGGCGACTGATGAATGACCAGTGGCGAGGAGAACACTTTATTCATGTGTCCCACACATTCCTGCCTTCATTCGTCTGTCTTGTTGAAAATAGATATAAATGACGCATAAAAAGGAAAAAGAGTGCCGGTAGGAGAGTGCGGTGGCAGAGAGGAGACAGACGTAGGTGATTCATGGCGTGGGGACTGCTGGGATGGTCTTCACAGACCCCCCACGGAGCTCAGGAGAACAGCAGGAGAGGGAGCGGCGGAGGGGTGTTTGAAGTCCTCCTTCCCGACCGAGGTGCAGACGCCCACCCCCCCCCCCCCCCAGGCGGGGCTTCCTCTCGGGGGGTCCCGCGGGAGTGTTACCCAACCAGGCAGCTGTCAGACAGCTTCTCCTCCCTTCTTATCTGTCTCTCCTTTATGCGCCAGTGTTGTGAAGTCAAACGCGGCACCTGGACGCATCCTAAATCACCGTATGGGGGGGGGAAAAAACATGGGGATCGGGACCTAATCTGCATCGACGTGGCCTGAAATGTTTTCAATGAATACGAAGCAGACGTTTGTGACTACAATGGAGACCTTCCTTCAGTGATGTGTAGACCTACCGGTGTGTGTGTCAACGTTTCCCTTTGTTAAATAAGGACACAGGATGCATTAAGACGACAACAAGATCAAACCCCCAGAAACGTTCGTCAGTAGCTGTAACCTCAAAAGCCTGGAGAACACATGGCGAATGTCGGACAATAATAGATCCTGTAAAAACAAAGCCTGTAATATGTAACTTGGATGAGGGGCCTTTGGGCTGTGAGTTGAGGGTGGAGCAGCTTCGAAACGTTAACTTGCTCTCTTTGCTTCATTGAGTGAAATGGGACTATTCATTTGCTACTATGGCGCAGGGTTCAGGAACAGCTTCAAGGTGATGTGATGAGTTTGTCATTCTTCACTACAATTCGCTCACCTCAGGCCTTTCTTTTACTCCCACCATCCACAGAGACACATCCCCTGCTCCTCCTCAGCACCACCTTTTCAATGGCGCGTGCACCTT